AAAAAAAAAAAAAAAAAGAGCTCAGCAAGCCCAGGAGGGGTGGAGCATGCTCTGGCCTGGTGGGGAAGACAGCTCGGGGCAGAAGCCCTGGTGGGGGCAGAGTGCTGGCTATGGGGCAGGAGAGTCATGGCTGCCAGCTGGGGTGCTGAGATCCCTAAAGGACCTCGTTCCCCTCTACAGGGAGCAAATGGTAGGCCGTGGAAAGTGCAGCGCGGTTTTGTCTTCCACAGTGAACGGGCCTGGGGACAAGGCAGTTGCATCTGAGAGTCAGTCTGCATACTAGTGCCCAAGTTCAAGTTTTCCATGTCCATGGGCAGGTGGCTTCTCCTCCGGCTCTCAGTCTTCTCCTGGGTAAAGCGAGGCTTACTGGTCAGGGGGTCACAGAGATGAAAGGCCTTAATGTGTGAAGGGCTTAGGCCCCTGCCTGGCTCATCATGTGGGAGAGCTGTCTGCTGCATCTTCCAGCTGAAGACTGCATGTTTGGACAAGTAGGAAGACAGAGATAAACTGCCTGGGGCATGGCAAGAGAGGGCACGCCAGGGACCCCTCAGGGTGCTAAGAATAGTGCTTTAGGCCAGGAGGCCTGATGCCAGGCATGGAGGACTTTCAGCTAACAGTATGGCAGCTGAAGACCTCCCTGGACTGGAGATTCTACAGAACAGAGTCTACGGAGGGGACAGAGTGTGCAGGAGGGGTGTCCAGGGCCCGTGAGGGACCATGCCTGGCCTGAGTTGGCTGTGAAGCCAGGGTAGGAGTTGTGGCACTTAAACACAAGGATGTAAAAGTCTTCTCATAGACATCTCTGGGGCTCAGGCAGGGCAAGTTTGAGTGGAGGTGGGAGAGACGGGGCTCACGACACCGCTGGAGTGCCAGGCATCACTGGTGCCTGGCAGGCATTCCCTTACTGCATTCTCACACGATCCCTGGGTGGCGAGCAGGATGATGCCCATTTTACAGATGAGAAAACTGAGGTTCAGAGAGCAGAGCTCGAGCCAACCTTGCCTGACTAGCTTGGTCCCTTTTCAAAACGCTACGTCCTGGCACCCGCTGTCGGAAGCCCAGTGGCCATGACGAAAGAAGGATGAGACAGGCACGTTGTGAGAGAGCCGCCACAGAGCTGGCCTGACAGGGGCTGAGGGGTGGTTCCATGATGCAGCTGGAAAAGCAGGCACAAACGCCAGACGCCGACTACCCAGACGTGGGCGGGATAGTGGGTGGAAAGGGGAGCACCAGAGGGATTTTCAGCCTGCCGCGCAGGTGCCTGTTTTTTCTAGTCACTGAGGAAGCAGGAAGGGAGTGGTGTTCCGTCTCTCCTCAGCACCCTTGAAGCACACACAGCTGGCTGAGCAGGGACCTGGGGGAGGCGTGGGGGAGAGGAAAAGGCACACTTCTTAGAAGTGGGTGGGAGGCGACGCTGAGGTATGGACATCGCGCCTCCACGCTGTGGTTGCCTGAACTCCCCCGCTCTGGGAGTAACACAGGATGTGGCGCTGGTGGAGACGCCAGCTGGGCGCCCCACACAGGCCACAGCTCCCCGTGTGAGTGTGGGGACCGTATGAAACATCCTATTAATGTGTGCATGGCATGTCTTTCTCATTACAGTGTGAACTCCACGGAGCCAGGGGTGGTGTCTTTTTGGTTGTTGGTTTTGTTTTCGTTTGCTAGAGGGCACATGTACTGAGCAGAGAAAGACGGAGAGGGAGGAAGCACCCCACAGGGCGGCATGGTCACGCCGCAATCCCTTCTCCATTTCTCCCTCCTGTTGGGATTCTGGGCACTTACTGGTGTGTTTCTAAGCCACCAGGGCCAGGATTCCCAAGGCACATCCTTGTGTGGCAGCCTTAACCACCAGGCCACTGGGCCAGCTTCTGGATGGTACCTTTCTTTCTCTCTTTTTTTTTTTTTTCATTTTCAAAATTTACACTTAGAGGCCCACCGGTAGTGTGGTGGTTAAGGCACTGGACTCCCACCTGGCCAACTATAGTTCAAGTCCTGAACTCAACGGCTTGAAAATCACACCAGGTGCATGTGTGTGCTTACCCAAAATCCAAAGAGGAGAATGAACGAGAACTGCAGTGTGGCCCTCCCTCCTGGGGGTGATTTCTCACTCTCTCTCTCTCTCCAGAGAGCACATGCACTCTATGGCAAAAACCTTTAAAAAATTTTTTTTATAAATTGTGTTTAATCACTGTACATTTTTACAGCATACAAAATGGTTTTTCCCAGTATGAATGCAATGCATGTTAGTCAAGTCAAAGATATTACCATAAACATTATCATCAACAGATAATTTGTCATTTGTGTGTCTGTTAAATGTTATTATTATTATTATTATTATTATTATTTTATTGTCTCCCAGATGGTGTCTTTTTTAAAGCAACTAGCAGTAGGCAGAGCCGAGGTGTGAGCCCTGGCACGCAGCTCCGGATCACACTCT